AACCACTTTAGTGGTTGGAGTCTGTTTTGAAGACTGCATCTCTCTGACTTTGAAATTTCCACTTCCTTAATTGCGACACATTGAATTTAATACAATTTTGATTATTCAAGTTTAGTTTAATCTTTTTTCGTTTTAAATTATATCATCCAAAGTTCCAATTCCCTATACATTCAAAATATTCCCTTCATCGTAAATATATAAATATATTTTGTAAGGTTTCATTCTAATTTGTTGACAAAATAATGTCAATAAATTTAAATTTTCGATATATATGTAGTTATATACCTAAGTTATAGAAGTTTAGATTTACATAATCTATATTTAGTTTAGGTTAAATCATAAATTAATCAATAACATTTTGATTGTTACGTCTATTTAGTCCCAAAATTTATAGAAATCTCAATTACGTTAATAAACTTTGAATTATAATCTCATATAGTAATGATGATACGATATTACTTTTGAACAAATATTTATTATTTGGATATGAAGTGCTAGATAGATGACAGAAGAAAGTAAACAAGAGAATATCAAAAAAATATCCACATTAATCCAAGAATTAAAACCTAACTTTCGAGACTTAGTCAAAAAAATTTCAATCACGTAACATTAACTCATGATATATAAGATTTGGAAGTTAATGGGGGGTATAGACTATAGTAATAATAAGCTAGAGACATAAAAAGAGATCGGACTTTGATGAAGATGCTAATAAATGCATGACATGAAAAAGAAAGCTATAATACATCGAAAATATTCAAACATACATATATATATATATATATATATATATATATATATATATGAAACCTAACTTATAACTGCCCCCAAAGCATAGTTGTATATTTAATAATGGAAAAAGATTTGAATTTTGATTTAAAATAAAAAGCGGTGAAAGTAGAGGAAAAAAAAAGTCAATAATGTCAAGCTCTTCCACAGCTGGTTTATTGAATTAATTTCTTGCCATCCCATGTGGGGATCTCTCTTTTTGGTGTCGTCCCCATCAAAAGTCGCACTATTTTAATTATTCCATCCATATCAATCATCCCCAAGATTGGACATTATTATTATTATTTATTTGTTATTCTATATTCCCTGTCTCATTCTTCTTATATTATTGCTTTGATTTCTGTGGTTCTATTGGACTATTCATTTTCTTCAATTGCTTTCTCATGAATCATGATGTGATCAAACTATAGGTTTAATGATATTTTTCTACTTAAGTGAGACATGGTTTTGTTATTGTGCCCTATTTAAAATGTTTTGTATGAATAAAAACGATGTTTTTATTTATATATAACTAGATCTTCACGAATATTTGTGCAATTTAAAATTCGTCAAAACTTTTAGTGAGGCTAAAAAATTTCATTGTCAAAAGCATCTTTGTCGATAAAGCTTACTTTTCGTTGCAAAAGGGGGTTTATGACGACGAAATAATGTTCGACGCCATAAGTTTCATTGGAGGGAAAAAAAAAAACACACAAGAACTACACACTAGTGTGGTGTGTACTAAACCCAACACATACTCTGATGTCTACTAAGAACAGGAAAGGTAGAGTTGTGAGTTTTGCTCGCATCTCATATCTCTCTCCTTATTTATAGAGTCGGAAGTCTTTCACTGGGACGTTGGTTTGGTTGTACTTGCTCGATTAGATAGTTTGACTCAGGTAGCTCAATCTCATGTTGTTTCTTTAGCTCCAATATTCATGTGAATCTTATAGGATAATTTCACCCACAACGTTCCTAACATGAGAAGAATATGACCGCGTCCTATAGTTTTGATTTTCCTCTAGGTTTGAGGTTTGGCCTAGTTGGAAAATTTATTGCTTTAATTTGGTGTGTTTACCAAATGGATCCACAAGTACTAACAGGAAACAACATAAATCTAACTGTAAATATAATATATATATATATATATATATATATATATAAACTTATAACATCAAGTACTGTTTGTAGTATGCCCATATTATTGTTGAATTCATCATGACTTCAATTTTCATTTATCAAGCCCCCATCCTTCCTTTCATGTCATATCATTTTGGTACTTGTTTAGTACCATTTCTTACTCATTTCCTCCTTTTCAATACCTCAAATGATTGCCTTTACATAGTACACAATAAGAGACTGTGCACGCGAAATCTAGACCCCTTTTTTTTTTTTTCTTGGATCTTTAATTCGACCGGTAATTATGTGTTAACAAATAGTGCAAATAAAGTCTCATGTTAGCAAAAGAATGAAATGTTTCATAGTATATTTAGACGAGGACACGGGACATTTTGGATGAAATTAAAAGCAAAATCGTGAAGGTAGGCTAAGAAAATCAGCTGGAAAATTGGAAGCAAAGAGAAGAATATTGGACTAAAAAATGCAACACATAATCAATGAAATGAAATGAAACTCACAGAAAATGACATGGAAAAAGTACAAAAAAGTAAGGAAAATTTCAGAGAGTTACAGAGTTAAGCTAAAGGGAATGATCAAAATTCGTTCAAAGTCCAATCGAAAAACGTCCCATAAGCGTGATAGAGGAACAGTCAGTTTGCAAACTATAGACTTTAAAAAAGTTATTTTCGAAACTTTATTATTGATTTTTTTTCCTTTAAAAAGAAATTAATGAACATAAAAAGAAACAAAGAAATTAAAGAATCCTCCATGGACGTCTCTATCGTGTTATAGATAATGGCACAGTGAAAATTGTGAAATGGCAGTGACACATCTCCGCCTAACTCTGAAATTTTTGTATTATGAAAGCAGAAAATCTGGACCTCTAAACAATTTTTATTTCTTTTAATTTTATCACATGTGATTTTTACTTGTTTTATTTAAATATCAATATTGGTGAAAATGACCCAGTTCAACTAGTTTTTCAATCAAAAGATCGTGAGCTGAATCTTTGATTTTATAAAATATTTTAGTAGCCACAATGATAATATTCAACCTACAAAAATATTCTAAAAATTCATAAAAAAAAAGTTTTGAATTTTATAAATGATAGGTTTGATGGAAGTTTACTTAAAAACCCTTGTCTCGAGCCTCTCTTAGAATGTGCTATTTTGATCAATGCTATTAATTTATAATTTTACAACCTTTTTAAAATTAGTTAGAGCAATGGAAGCTCACTTTAAATATAATTAAGCACATTACTGACGTTTGACCCAGCAAAGTTCTTTGTTGATATATCTCTATTAAATTAAATTAAAATCAGATAACATTATATATATATATATTAATTCATTTAAAAAGGATTATTTTCATACATGCACCTTTAGAAATAAGAAAGTAGATCTAGTAAGCAAAAACCGAAACCCACCATTCAATTTAAGACACACATCTCTCAAATTGATCCTCTGTGTGCATAATAGGACAAAGATCTAAGGCAAAGTTTCACTTTTTTACACACCCAAAGGAGAAAATAAGAAGCAAAAGGATCTAAAAATTCAGCCTTCAGCTTTTTTCTTTCTGCTCTTGCTCACTGAGCTGGTTCTCTTCTTCTTCTTTCATTTTTGTCAATGTCAAAGGAAGATGAGAAAAAGAAGGATCCTTATTATTATGATCACCACTTTGATCCTCCTTATGGTGCTGATTTTGATCCCTCCTCTGTTGTTGGTTTCTCTGATTTCTTACATGACTACAACTTCAACTTCTTCTCCGCCGCACTCGACATGTCGTGCTCGTCGTCCGAAGTTATTTCTCCGGTCGATGACGCTTCGAAGAAGTCTTCCGGGGTAGGAGCTGAGTGGGCGGTGACCGGTGAGCACCCATCGTCGTCGTGTTCGTCCGATGATCGGGTGGCGGCTGGGGGTGCTGGTGGTGGTGATTCTGCCAAGAGTGGAGATCAGGTGGTGACGAAAGAGTTTGAAGATAAAGATGGAGAAAAGTGTAAGAAGAAAGTGTAGGTCACTCTTCTCTTAAAAATCTCTTGAATTTTTATAATTTTTTTTTAGGTTTGACAAAAACTAACAAGAGAAATCAGGAAAATTAGGGTTCTTGTGGCCTTTTAAAGTCTAAATTCAACAACCCACTTGTTGTTTTTAACTAAAAAGGAGAGAAATTGATCTAAATTGATGATTAACACACACCAGATTGTAATTTGTGAGCTAAATTATATACATTTACAAGAAAAAAGGAATTGAGAGAAAAAATTGGTGTATTGTGTATAGGGAAGGAGGAAAAAAGAAGGAGAAAGGGGAGAAGGGGCCACGGGTTGCGTTCTTGACCAAGACTGAAATAGATAACCTTGAAGATGGATACCGATGGAGAAAATATGGTCAGAAAGCTGTCAAAAACAGCCCTTTTCCAAGGTATAATTTTCCTACACTCTTACCTTAATTCAATCAAATTAAATTGGGTATTTTTAATTAAATTTCTCACTACTACTAAGTTTATTGAAATAATAAGATTATACATCTTGAAGTCATTTAGTTTAACACCTAATTCATGAGTTGAATTGTAAGTAACAATCTGATTGTAACCCTAGAAATATATTCCTATTGTTTTTGTACTCCCTTTTTCATGAATTGTGCCTCTTAAGTTGTGTTTGGGAGACTTGTGGAGTTTTGAGTTTTAGGAAACATTGATTCATGAAAATTATGTGAGAGAATAGGGTTTCGAAAGAGTACTAGATTTAGCGTAAACTCGTTAGTTTATCCAACAAATCGGATCGAGGGGACAAGCAATAGTTTTGCCTCTACGACCTTCTTAGTCATGTCACTTTCACTCGGAATTTAAATAATCAGATTATTACCAAATCTAAAAGCTTAAATAGATTGTGGTTTTTATTTTGTTTTTCTTACAGGAGTTACTACAAATGCACAACTCAAAACTGCAATGTCAAGAAAAGAGTTGAGAGATCATCCCAAGATCCATCTTTTGTAGTAACAACGTACGAAGGGAAACACAACCACTATTGTCCCGTGACACTTCGAGGCAATGTCGCTGGAATGTCGTTGCCGTTGTCGTCTGCTTCACCGCCGTGGCCTCCGGCCAACTTCTTCTCCGGCGATCCTTATAAAGGAGTTGTTGATGATCACCAAGATTATTCTCAGGTTATTCCTGATCATTATGGGTTGTTGCAAGATTTGATTCCATCCTCGTTCAATCGAAAGCAAGAGCCTTGAGTTACAAAATCTTCTCTCTTAGTTATACATATTATGAACTTTATATTAATTAGCTAGTGCACATCTTGCATTTAATCTTCTTGATTAGCTAGTCAATACTCTAATTTTGTTGAGAGTGCTGTTAACTAATTTAGATCAATTTCATGCTTTTTTTCTTTATTATTATTATTGTTTTTGTTATCTGATCAATTTCATGATATTTAGTTTTGCTTCATCATCCATTGAAACCATATGTAGGCTCAATGGGGAAGGATTGAGTGATAGTTTGGTTATTTAAAAAGAGATAAATAAATAATAATAATTAATAAAGCAGGGTGGGAATATTTTAACTACCTAAAATCAACCGTTGACTCATTAATTAGTGGGTGGATTATATTTTTTTTTTCTTTTTCTTTGTATACTTTGGATTGAAAATGAGGGTTTTGTTAGAAGTGGGAATACTTTATATATTTATTTATTATGTAGATAAGATACTTTATATCCAATTCTATTTTTAATAGTTTAATGTTTTGTTAATTAAACTTCAATAGTTTATCAAGTATATTTGTGAAAGATTAAAGCCATGGGTTGAGAATATTACATAATATGTGGATCGAATTTGTAAAAATTTTAAATTATAATTGAATTAATCTTGTTTCTAAGTGGGTTTTAGAAAAATCAAAAGTTATATATTAGTTAACAAGTATTAAAGAGATAATAATAGTAATAAGGCAGATCCCATTATGTTATCAAAATGTGATTTTTAGATAAAAATAGTAATTTCATAAAATTAAGAAGCATGAGATATTTTCTCCACAGATTTCAAAATATTATTTAATTATCTACATTTGGAGGTATATGATGATATGAATGCATCGGTTGTGAGTTCGAATCCCCACCCCAACCTGTTATACTAAAAAAATGATAGGAACACATCAAATAATCAAAATTCAAAACCTCCATGTATGTTAAATAACAAACAAATGGCTATAAATATAATCTGGTAAAAGAATATAAAAAGAGTGTATTATTTAAAACATAATCATTAAAAACATGCTAAAAACAATAGGCCAACCGTTGATTAAATTGGACAAAGAAAAAGTCAAAGTTTGGAGGGCCTGATATTCAAACGGTGGTCAGTGGCCGACTTCGCATTTATGATTATCGATTAGATTCTGTGTAAGGCAGATTTTTGTGAAAGTCAAGATTTCTTCATTTATTTGTTCTTTTTCAAATTATTTCTGAAACTTTTCCCACTATGCTAAATTCTTGGGGATTTTATCTTCTCTAAAAATCTTTTTCTTTATTAGCATAAATATGAGAAGATGAAGTTCAAAAGAGGAGAAAAAAAAAAAAAAAAAACTCCAAACAACAAACTTTGAAAATTGGGTTGGCTGTGACGAATGGCAAATGGAGCCCTCCATAACTTTTTTTGCTCTTGCTTTTGCTTCACAAGAATGGCTTGTTATAATAACCACTACAGAGGCATGGCTTCTCTTTTACTCATCAAACAAACAACCTCCCTCCATTCCCTTCATCATTCCTCATTATCATCTACTACAAACTTCCATCTTTTCTTCTTCTTTCTTCCTTTCTCACTCATAGCTCCTTAATTTCTTCGGTACGACCTCATCACTAAAATGAACTACAAAGAAGTTGCTTCACTATGTTTAGCTGTTGTGGTGATGTTAATAAACCGTATGATGACTCATGCTATTGGTAGAAGAATATCAACATGTTACGTGTCAGTAATACATCGAATCAAAAGACGTGTATTATCTCAAACGATGTATCCAAAGTATACATATATTTAAAAGTCCGTTCTATAAGGTCGAACTTCCTCTAAATTAATTGATAACTATTCAACCACTCCACCGACCATAGCTACAGATTCAATGTTGGAATTTGTGGTAACGTGCTACATGACCGAACAACAGTTCCAACCTGCCCACCTATGAATACTAGAGGTAACTCACCTCTGTTTTGCCGGTCCTATTTTGATACATTCTTAGTGGTTCTTAGAGAGCTTAGCTATCAGTAATACCCTTCTTGTAGTTCAAATTTCAAATTACCAGCTAACAGTTAAGTCCTAAAGTTGGAAGATAGTTGCTGATATAGGGATGGGAATGGTCAATCCAAATCTTTTGGAAAAATAAATAAACAAAAAGAGTTTGAGTTGGTCGCCATGCACAGAACAGCAATCAAAGAGGATGCTCCAAAAAGGAGAAAAAGAAACAACAAAGAGAAGACGAAATTACAATCATGTAAATTAAAGGCAGCCAACTTGGCCATGTCCGGTGGTCCTTCAGACAAGCCTGTACAATCTCTCTCTCTCCCTCTCTCTCTCTCTCTTCAATGCTTTGTCTTGTGTGAGAGAATGGCCCTCTCCCTCTTCATCAATAGGAGTAAGGAGTAGGCCTGAAATCAATTCAACTTCAACCTTCTCTCTCTCTACAAACAAACCAATTTCTTCAATAATTTACTATACTCATGCCTTTTGTCAGTTCCTACTTCCTATCCATGGCTTGTCTCCGATTTATGGCTCTCTGACTGCCCGCCCGTCTGCTCCGAGCCTGATATTTCTTTCATCGACTCTATCTCCAAGCTCATCGATCGGCTTTTTCGGTTCCTTCTATCCTGTCAAGTTGTATGTAAACATGAACTACTCTACAATGTCTTTAAACCATGGTGAATCATGGCCATTCAGGAAGTAGATGGTAATGGCCTAGTAAACTTGAACGAATCTGATTTTCTAGCAGAACCCACATATTTAAGTGTTTTTACCATGTAAGTAAGAAAGTTTGATGACCTATAGCTGCCAACACAACTATGCCAAAGCAGGACCACCTTATCGTACTTACTACTAAGTTTCTAACAAGTTCCAGCAGAAGTGTCCAAAAACGTGGTTGTAATAGACATAAATGCAGTTGCAGGAAAACGTACTCATCGATCGTCCTATAAAATTCTCCTATGACTACGAAATGGGAATTGTCGAGTAGTTTGGGGGAAGGGGTTTGCATAAAACTGTAAAATTCTCACATGGTGAAACCAGTGAAACTCCAAATGCATCAAAGGAGATTGATTGCTTTTTCTGTAAAATTGAAAATGAAGTGATGCCTAATTTGTAAGCATATTATTTTCAAAGAAAATCATCATAGTAGAGCCAACCAACAAATATCAGTGAAATACTTGAAATGTAGACAATGAGAAAGGACAACAAACAATGATGCAGTCACAGAACAGGATAATGGTTTCCGTACCTCGTGCAGTGGAAATTCATCGGCTTCAAGCATCCTTACAACTTGACTCATCTTGGGTCTCTTGATTGACTCAGGATCGATACACCGAAGAGCAACAAGAAGGGCACGTTTCAGAGCACGAGTAGTTGGTTTAACCTCGAGGTTCATGTCCACAACTTCCTCTGCTCTCCTAGTTGCAACCATCATCTTTAGCCACTCAACAAGATTAACCTGACGAAAGTATCCAAATATGTTATATAGAAATTCCAACAAAGATAATCAAGGCAGGATGAAACTATAGCCAAAACTGATATAAGAATAGGTACTTCGTCGGAGGGACGGGCATAGTCCACTGGGTCCCTCCCCGTAATTGCTTCTAGCAGGAGAACACCAAAGCTATAAATGTCGCTCTTTTCATTCAACAGGCCCGTATTAGCATATTCTGGTGCCACATACCTGAAATTCATAAAAGATAAATTTAAGCTCCTAATATGAGATGGTACAATCCCAATGAAATGAATTCCAATCATACCCAAATGTTCCCATAACCCTAGTTGTGATGTGACTCTCTCCAGAGCCCAAGAGCTTGGCCAATCCGAAATCAGAAACCTTGGCATTGAACTCATCATCAATCAAAATGTTGCTTGATTTTATATCTCTGTGAACAACTTTTGGCTCAATTGCTTCGTGTAAATACGCAAGCCTGCAAAAAGTTTATATAGTTGCATCTCTGTTAGTTAAACCTCTGAGCTAACTACTGGCTTTTCCCTCTTATGTTAGTTCCTAATGTAACAAGCACCACAAAAATTGAGCAAAATTCAAATTCAAAAACTTATTACAACTATAAGAACTATTCTTGCCATTGAAGTGCTATATTTGAAGACTTACGCCTTAGCAGTGCCGAGAAGCACCTTCATGCGAGCCTCCCAGGTAAGTGTCCCATGTTGGCACATGGCTCCATGCAGCCACTGTTCTAGATTGCCATTGTTCACATATTCATACACTAGCATCCTACATGAAGAAAACAGGTAAATACAAATTCTCATGGCCTTGGGAGCAAGAGGAAAATTGCAGAGCACATAGAGAAAATGGAAGTTTATGAACTCATTGGTTTGTGTGGAATGTATCAAAACAGGACTTGTAAAAGCGCATATAGCATTTTCATGATTTTCTATGGAGACTAAAATAGTTTATGAACTCTTTGTTCCTACCTATGAACTCCTTCTATGCAATAACCCAGCAGCCGGACAAGATTCTTATGCCGAACATGGCCAATCGCCTCCACTTCAACTCTAAATTCTTTCTCTGCCTGGCCCCTATGCATTTCAAATCATAAGTCAAATGTTCCAAAAGCACTTATAAGAACAAACAACATTGTTCTTTGAACAGTAAATCCTTACAGATTATTGAGAAGTTTTTTCACTGCAACCTCAGTGCCATTGATGAGTCTACCCTTGTACACAACTCCATATCCTCCCTCTCCAAGAATATTTTCTGTAGAAAAGCGATTAGTTGCAAGCTCCAGATCCCTGAGAGTGAACCAGTGGCCCCACCCAAGATGTGAAATTTCTGGCAAGCCAACAAGAGGAGACGGTGGCACAATTCCTCCATATCCTCCATACGATCGCGAAGCCTGCTTCCGAGCATGTCCAGAACTTCCTTCTTCCCCTGATTGTGAATTGCAAGCTTTTTCATGTTGATGAGTGGAACTGCATTGGCTATTGTTATCCGGTTCGCTTGATTTGGTCACAACCATCATCTCTGAGTTTTCATCATTTCTCTTGATATCAACTGAGAGAAGCCTATTTTCAGGGCGGTCATTGGAAGTTTGAGTCCCAACCTGGTCTATCCTGATATCTTTTGGAAAATCAGGTATTTGCGAAATAGGGAACTTGTCCATGGGTCTTTTGGATTTTTTCCGAAACAGGACCCATATCGATAATAAACCAAGAATCAAAACTATAAATGCCCCGATGCAAATGCAGATCAAAACCCACAATGACAATCCCCAAAATGAAGTCTTCTTGTATAAATCATCATTCAATGAATTTCCAGACGCCATATCTGATCCACTGGAGACTAAAATTCCAAGCCAAAAGAACTTCAAGTTCAAGGTCCTAAATCATATCAACACATACCCATCTGGAAATCCAAAGACCTGGCAGTACAGAATAGAGCAGAAATCAGTATTTTTTTTATTCAAAATAAGAATAAGAAATTTCATTGATGAGCAATTTTCAAAAACTCCAAAGGAGATTACAGAGAGAAAAAAAATACTCCAACAGGAGACTATAAAGGAAGGGGAAGAATTGTGGACAAGAACTCCGAAGTGAAGCAACAAAAATCATAAAATCCCATGTCTCATTTAGATTTTTACAAGCATCATTACAAATCCTTCTATTGTGCTGAGCAGAAATCAACGTTGAGTTGCTTTCCTTGAAGAAAATAATTTCATGCCACCAATTCTTGTCCAATTTGTCATACAAAAGAGAACTGAGCTGAAATTGAAACAATGAGAGAATTTTCTCCATTTGGGTAGACTATTGAAGTTGAACTATAACAGAAGTCTTGACAACAAAATCCCAAGTACCATTTCAGAAACCAAGAACAACTAATTTCTCAAACAACCAATTGTGAAGTTCAAATTCCAGGTCTGGCAAAAGAAACAAAGACCAAAAAACATGAAAAACGCAAAACACAATTCGCGATCCCAACAAGATACAGGGGCAACGCAAAAATTCATATAATAGAGCACTATAAGGTACAAGATTTACCTCATGTAGTAATCTTCAATAGACCCAGATTTGCCCCTTCCTCTCGAAACCCAGAAAGGGAAATAAAGCGAATCGTATTGAGCCAATGGAGACCCAAAAAGCATGGAGATAAGCCAAAATGTTGTCTGAAATAACTAAAACCCAACAAATCCAGAGCCCCAAAAAGATGTAGTAGAAAAGGAGTAATTAACAAGTAGGGATAGTGGGGTGGAGTGGGCCAAGAGAAATTTCTGGGAATGATAAAATAGAAGATGGAAGCGGAGAAGGGCAGACAGAAACAAAAATCTAATCCTTGGAGAGAGAATTGAATAAGATAACTGGAGAGGATTTAAAGGGTCAGAAAAGAAAGAAAGGAA